TTGGATGGTGGAAGATCGGTTATGAAGTCAGTTGAAGTGACAGAAAATGGATGTGTTCGTGTTGGGGCAGGGATGGGGTTTAATGCAGGTGCTGAAGGATGAGTGTTCACTTTGTTTTGTTGACAGGTAGCACAACCGTCAACATAATTGCGGATGAAGATGAACATTCCTGGCCACCAATAGTCTCTTCGAACCAATTCCAGTGTCTTGAAGTGTCCTGGATGTCCGGCAGCAAGAGAGTCGTGGTACTGAGACACGATTTCTCTGCGTAGATCTTGATTGGCTGGTACATAGATGCGTCCTTTGAATTTTACAAGCCCTTCTTCGAGTTTCCAATCGTTGAGTGAGGATCGAAGGGGAAGGGGTGATCCTGTCTTCAAGGCTTGCAGAGCATCGCGTACCACCGAGTCAATCTCAGTTGCTTTAACCATTTGATCATGTCGTTCCACATCAATGGCTTGGATTTCCAATGGCCTGTCTGTCAGGGTACTTTGTTCTTGTCCGTCTAGACGTGGCCTTTTGTCAGTGGGAATCCAGTCATTGTTGACCATTGGTTCATGTGTCCGCTTGTTCGTGATCCTTTCTGCTTCCATGATGTTGGCCGGGTGAATGTCACCTTGCAGGTCAGGGTTGTCGATCCATTCAATCGTGGGGTCGTCATAAGAGATCAATGTTGGATCAACCTTTGATTCAATTGGACCTTCATTTTCCTTTGTCATGGGTACGTTTTCCATTGGGTCATCCTTGAATTCCGCTGGGCTTGGTTCGGACGGTGTCATTGGTATATCCTGCTTGGTTTGAATCTCCAATTCCTTCTTCAATTGAGGTGCAGAAGGTTCGCTCATACGTTCATCCTGATCTGAAGTGGCATCTCTATGGAACATTTGTTCTGGCAATAGGACCATCTGGTCATTGTCTTCCTCGTCAGGGCATAGATCTGGTCGTCTTGAGAGCGCGTCTGATTGTACCATTTGTGGCCCAGGAATATGTTTCAAGATCAGATCGAACTTGGACAAATACAGTGACCACCAAGCTTGTTGTCTTGTTAGGCGTTGTGCAGATCAATAGTACTGCAAGTTCTTGTGATCGCAGTAAACTGTGACTGGGTGGGGTGCGCCCTCGAAGTAGTAGTCCCAATTCTGTAGTCCTCGGATGATTGCCAGGAGCTCCCTAGCGTAGATTTTGTAGTGTCGTTGAGCCTTGTCAAATGCCTGTGAAATATATCCACATGGGTGCCAGTCTCCATTTACATCCTGTTGGCGTAGAACTGCCCCCGATGCAAACTTGGATGCATCGGTTTCCAGGATGAATGGTTTAGACTTGTCTGGCATCATCAGCACTGGTTCTTCCAGGAACTTCTGCTTCAAGGTTTCAAATGCAGTTTGACATTCAGCTGTCCAGTCCCAAGGATGATCCTTCTTGGTGAGGTCGTTCAATGGTCGAGAGATGTTGGCAAAGTGTGGAATAAATCGTCAGTAGAAGTTGCAGAATCCTAGGAATGACCGGACGTCCTTCAATTTCCTAGGGATGGGCCAGCTTGCTATTCCTTTCAATTTGACTGGATCCATGCCCAAGTGGTTTTCCTTGACGATCAGTCCAAGGTATTCCACTTCTGGTTGACAAAATAGGCATTTTCCAATTTGAGGAATAGGTCGTTTTCCCTTAATTGTGCCAAGACCCGTTTTGTCCTTTCCGTGTCTTCTTCAGCTGTCTTGGAGAAGATAAGGAAGTTGTCCATGTATATGATGATCCATCCTTCGTCAATCATGTCTTTGTATAGTTCGTTCATCATTGACTGGAATGTTGCCGGTGAATTGCATAGGCCAAAGAACATGACGGTTGGTTCAAACAATCCTCGATTGGTTTTGAACGCTGCTTTCCATTCGTCGCCTTCCTTGATACAGACATTGTTGTAGCCTTTGCGGACATCCAATTTGGTGAAAACCTTTGCCCCTTGTAGCTTGTCCAAGATTTCGCTGATCAGGGGAATTGGATAGGCATTCTTGACTGTCCATTCATTGAGATACCGGTAGTCTTGGCAAGGCCGTACGTCTCCATCCTTCTTGCCTACGAAGAAGAATGGTGATGCCATAGGGGATTTAGACGGTCGGATGTAGCCCTTTGACAAGTTTTCCTTTAAGAATTCGTCCAATTTCTGTTGCTCTAATGGTGACATGGGATAGAGCTTCTGATTCTTTGGAACGAATCCTTCTTTGAGATCTATTGCATGATCATAAGGTCTTCGTTCAGGGAATCGTTCTGAACTTTTCTTGTCAAAGACGTCCGCAAATTCCTTGTACTGTTCAGGTAATTCCGCTTTGCTTTTGGCTTCCTTCTCAGCATCTTGAGCCATCCGCATTGCAGGGTTAACCTTCTTGCCAGTGTCCTTTTGTCCAGTGATAAACCGTATGAGGAGATCGTCTTCCTCTGCCTTAGTTCGTGCAATTAGGGCGTAGATGTCATCCAATTTGATCTTCCATTTCGGTGTACTTTGGAAGATGGGGTCATCGACGTGCGCCAGTAGTGGTCCTTTGCAATATTGACGTTTGATGGAGAATTCCTCGTCAGGGATTTCTTCAATGGTTACGTTTAGGATGGATTTTCTTTTCCCAAAGTCAATCCGTCCAGTAACCCAGTTGATCTCTGGGTTGTTTTTCTGTAACCAAGGTAGTCCCAATATAACGTCTTCCTTCCCCAGGTCGGTGACCAAAAATCGGACAGAGCGGACTCGGTCTCCAATCTTCATTTGCAGGAATGCCGCTTTGGTGATGAGTCCTTGTCTGTTCTTGGTGCCATCAACATTGAAGACTTTGATTGGTCTTGGTATAGGGACCGTCTTCAGTTTGTTTGCCAACACAAACTTCTGGTCGATGAAAATTCCTCCAGCCCCTGAATCAATGAGGGCTTCTGCAGTCGTTTCAGCGCTTCCACGTGATAGCAAAATATTGATCTTCATTGACTGGTCAACAGTCTTTGCTATAGTTACAGTAGAAAGGTAGGAACGAGACGAGCCTGACGCTGATGCAGGTCGTCTTAGGCAAAATCCTTCTCCGCCATATCTTTGAGAAGCTTGATCTTGTCGTTCTCTTCAAGTTCCGCCATCATGGCTTTGATCTTGGCGATATTAGACACTTCTTTGGTTGAGTCTTCTTTGACCTCTGTAGCACGGACAGGTCGTCTCTCTGGTTGTTTTCCCTTGTCCTGCTTATGATCGGCAGCTCTGTGGCCAGTCTGACCACAGGTGAAGCATTGTCCTTCCTTCATGTACTTCTCTCTGTCACTGGTCGATAGGCGATCGACATCCATGGCATTGGGGTCTTTAGAGGGAGGGGTGTACTTCGGAGTGACGAAGTTTCTGTTCTGGCCAACTCCCTTGTATCGGTTGATGACCGCTCTCGCCCGTCGATACTGATTGTCAAATCGGGATGTGGCTTCGTACCATTCTTCGATCGTCTTAGGCATGCGCTCCATGCCATAGACCTTCTCGACTAGCTTGTTCTGGAGTCCCTCTTGGAAGTACTCAATCAGGGATACGTCTTCAGTGATTCCGCATCGTGTGGTCAACATGCGGAATTCCGCGATGTATCCGTCTGCTGTAGCCGTCTGGCGCAACACGCGCAACTTGGCTCTCGCATCTCCAGCGGTGTCTGCCTCGGTGAAGGCGTTCAGGAATCGTGTCGTGAAGGCTTCCCATGTGCCAAATCCTTGGTCATTGGTGAATGCCTTCGTCATCTCTGCCTCAGCCCATGGGCCAGCAGTTCCTTCTTTCAAGAAGGAGATGAAGAACGTGATCTTCTTATCGGTGTCGTAAATGTGCTTGTTTGCCATCATGTATAGTTGGGTGGCAAGGTAAAACGTTCGGGTCTTCTTCCTGTCTCCATTGAAGTCATCTGGGAGACGTATCTTGATTTCTGTTGGTCGTGCTTGGACAATTGGTGCAACGTTGTTGGCTCCAGTTGCCTGGGTCGCAGGATCGAATGGGTTTGTCGTGGTTTCTGGTTCAAGGGACGGGATTCCACTAGGGAGTCCAACGAGGATGATCAAGAGTAGAGGAGGGGTTGCCTAGGCTTGAAGAAGTTGGCGAGTGTCGTAGAAGAGTTCAACCTAATGTTAGGAAGCGATGTCCTAACTAGTCGTCTTGAGATAACTGGGCCACGTGCCAACAGTTATGTCATTACTACCTCAGTAAGCGTACTGAAAGGTAGGTCTGGCCGGGCCAATGCCAACGGTCAAGTCAAGAGTCCAGGTAATCGCTGTATTCAACAGGAGGTTGAACTAAGGAATACATGGGTTTTCCTACAGTATATATAGTAACTGGTATAGGGGTTATTACCCAAAGAAGAGAACAATAAGCAAGGACGCGTAAGCCATCCTGTGAGAACATAACTCGGAGAAATGAGAAATACAAGGGCGCCCATTGGTAGAAGGTGAGTCAAGGGAGATAACGTGTGAAAAGAAGATAGTGTCCATGGGAAGGTCTAGTCAGAGAAAGGTACTGTCCAATAGCAATGCTCGGAATGGAAATAGAATGAGATAAGCATGGGAAAATCATAACACGGGGCATGCCCAGGCGATTGATGACATGGACCTCTATCATATGAATTTGACAACCTCTGGGTGCCCCAAGTGCCACTGGGATGTCTGGTAACCCTCGGAACAAACACAGCCGACAAGTCTCAGAGCGACGGTGGCTCCCGTATAACCGGCACTGGATGTACTTTGTCTGGCTTGGAGCGCATGGCTGTTATGGGAGTGGAACATTATTGTCTGGACTCTGCGCTCGCAACCAGAAGGCTCACCATATTTCTGGTCGTCTGTAGTTTTTAAGGATAGGCATGTCGCCCTGCGCCTTAAGTCCTTCGCCTTGGATCTGAGATAATAGCCCGGATCGTGTACAGATCGCTTCTAGCGACTCGCTCACGCGCGGAAGTAGCACCGCCATATTGGAAACACGCTACTTGTATCTACCCTTACGTACCAGAGGGTGTGTACAATGTGAATGGCGGCTCAGGACAATGGAGGCATGGGTTCGGCCCTGACTAGTGGGTGATGCCACAAAGAACAGTGTTGTTGACCCGCGTGGCGGCCGTGAGCATGTGGTCGTAAACATATAAGACAATCCGACTCATACTCCCCACCCTTCGACATACTCGTCCTACAACGAGCGCGGAAAACAAGATGGATTTAGACGATCGACCTCCCACACCACCTCCGCACTGCCGGCTGAGCCCCAGGCTAACCAGCAGCCGTCGCATGTAGCACCACGGGTCAGGGTGCAGGAGATTGATGCATCTGACATGTATCGCGCAACAGTGGAGCAGCAACTACGAGAAGAACAGAAAGAAAAGGAGGAGCTGCTTGCTGTGGTGCACGCCGAGCAAGACCGGATGCGTCGCGAACAGGAGGCTTGGAACGAACAGTTAGCTGACGGTCAGAGGCGTATGCATGCGATGATGAATGTAAGTTTCGCTCCAACTAATAGTGACATATGGCCTAATGTGCATACCTGCGAAGTTTATCAAAGCACGAGAGGCGGCCGAGAAGGCAGCTGCAGAACGGGTACGTCTGAATTAGAGGATTATCATCGAGGTGGTACCCATGCCCCTGGCATCGATAGATGCAGGCGATGCAGGCAGCACTTGCCGAGGCAGAGGTAAGTCTGATCCTTTTCGTTACATGCTGTATTCTCACTCGAGGATAGGAACAACGGCAGCATGAGCTTGCTGAGGCAGAGGTACGAGAGCGACTTCCATCAGCCCTACATTTTCTTATTTCAGGCCAGGCACGCAGGGAGCGTGAGCTTGCGGAGCTGGAGGTAACGTGTCAGTAAGATATCGAGACGTTGTACTAATTATAGGATAGGCGAAGAGGCAAACAGAGCTTGCCCAACTAATGTCCAAGATTGGCGGATCGATTCATACGCCTGCTTCGCACCCTGAAGGGGAGCCTACTGGTACTATGGGCCCGAATCAGAGAGCTATGTCTTCCCCGCCAACTTCTTCCAGGGCTTACCGCTTGACCGACCAAGAATTGCAAAGTCTTCGTTGCAATGGCAGGAAGAAGAACGCCTGGCAGACCCTACATGCTCTGAATATGGTAGGTGTACACGTCACTCAAGGCTCTTGTTCCGTCGATTTCTAATACACCTTGTTGTAGGATCCAGATCCAACCGGACCACAACCTCCAATAACTGCTTCCCCACCCGCTCCAGAGGTGGATATATCGACATTGGTGGAGACACTCAAGAAATGAGCTGACGAGGCCCTCGAGGAGGCTCTGGATGAGGTTCTGGAGCAGTTTGCCCCGGGGTCCCTTGGGACCGGCTACCGCCCAATCAGCAGGGAAACTCGTCGCAAACAACCCAATGTTGCCAATGAATGCAAAGAAGAGTATACAAAACTGAAAGAAAGAAATCCAGAGGTGCATAAGGACTATCTGGTATGTTCATATGACCATGAGCAGGCATTGAGTGATGGACCAAACTTTCTCTAGGATCTTTGCAGAGAGACAGTGCGTAAGGCCTTGGATATCAAGATGGACAGCGACATTGCAATGAAGCCGCGAGCTGACACAATCGCAGTGGAGGCTTACAATGATGGGGGTCCCGATGGTCCTGACCGTGACAACCTTTGCATTGATATGGGGGCTGCAGTGAAGGATTCCCAATGGAATCAGCGGCTCGTCGAGATCCTTGTGGAGAGGGCCCATATACTCTGCGACCAGCGGCTAGCAAGGGGCTACTCAATGGAGGCGCATGCTGATTGGTACGTCAAAGTGATGCTGGCGAATAGGATTGACCACCTTCGTGGTGAATGGTGGTCAGTGCAGCCCAAGTACGGGAGGGATGGTACGGTAGAGGATCAGGATGAACTCTGTGGCCGTTTGCAAACAAAATATAGCGGTACTCACAAGAAAGCAGGTGCACACCCGGCGCCGTGGGGTAGGCATATTTCAGTCCATGACATGGGTCGTGCTCATGACAACATATACACAGAAATATAAGACGCGATTATCCACCGTAGATCAGACTATAACCATCAAGTCCGAGAGAGGCGAGCTGGACACCCTGTTCTGGACCTACTTAAGGTCCATCATAGTTTGGTATGGAGAAGACGGTATGAGCTCAGATGATACGGATGAGGAAACCGACGGCTTTCGCGTCCGCAAGATGTCTTGGCGGCGAGATATCGAGAGGGAGCTGAAGATTGTTGACGACCAACGGGACGCGGATGGTATCAAAGACAACTGCGGCTCCAAGCCAGCACCTAGGTCTCGCGGCGAGCCTTGTGGAACCACTCAGCGACAACCGCCTGTTCGACTTCCTTCTAGTTTCTATGACTCTCAGTGGCTAAACGATCCGCAGCATGGCGTGCTGAGAAGGGACAGAGTCAGTCCTTCCGTCGAGGATTTCCAGTGGATCGTCTTAGCATCGGGGTAGAAATGTATTACAAGACATGTATTGATACAGTATTTCAATGCAAAGATGTCTAGCTGCAGATGAGACCCGCTAGTCCCTTGGTATTGCAGAACAGCTGGATTGTTTGCACATCCATGCGTGTAATGTCAGAGTAACCGCGCTCGAGCGGGCCATCGAACTTCAGGATAAGTACGCTACATCCCGCCGAGCTCTTCGAATTTGTGTACCACACTTGCAGTGGTGGCCGCCTACCCTGCTGTGGGATGCTGACTTCATTGATATCGGATAACATGACGTCGGGGAAGAACGTGGCAACGTATGGTGCAGGCCATATCTCCAGCGAGCAATTACCCTTCGAGGTCGTAGATATGAGGCTATAGTCACAATCGACATCTCAAAAGTCCCCTATTTGCCCTGTTAGAGCGATCCACTTAGAGGTGAATCGAACCTACGCAGTTGTGGACGGTATTGCATGGCAGAAGCAGTGAAACACATCGTCGGATCACAATAATCCCACCTGTAGTATCGCACGGCAGGGAGGACTCTAGTGAATGCCGAAGGCGGCACGCTCAAAGATTGGCATGCAAGTTGATGCCCCGGCCAGTCCTAGGAAGTGTTATAAATGCAGGTGACCTCTCATACGTATGAGAAACTCACCTCCCTAGTGTGGTACTGGCAGCAGTATGAGGCGGCTCCGCATCTCGTGCAGAGCAGACCAGGTTTGGCGGGTTTTCGACAGAAGTTGCAGGTTGCACAAGCTCTTGGGGCCATAGCGCAGAGTTACGTCGCAAGGCGTTGGGAAGGCAAAAGAGACACACATGAGCTATTCAGGGACATGCGGACCGCACGTGCACCACATGGTATTACTAGCATTATATTATAAGAGTGAACAAAACAACAGTAGCCTACGAGAAGAGGCAGGGACTGTCATAAAGTGGCAGATAATATTTGACAAAGATATCATTCCACTCGCCCCTGATAAGGATGAAAGGAGGGGGAATGGCCACAAAGACGACAACAGTGGAGACGATGCGAGCAGAGCAGTATCATTTTTGGAAATTGCAATGGAGGGCAGCAGGAGACAACGCAAGAAGAGCCTGAACCTTGGACAGTGTCGCAAAGATGAAAGGAGCAGGAACGACGTGAGCAGAGCCCAATTGGGAGGCACAGTGTAAATACTTGAGCACGACGAGCGAAATAGTTGATGACATACCGATGTGACATTGTCCAGACAAAGCAAGCACAATTCTTGTACAATCTCGTAACGATCAAGGGAGGGGGCCATACGAGCTGAGCTCAATCAATCCTTGGACAACGTTGCAAGGATCAGAAAAGCGGGAGACGACGCGAGCGGAACCCAATCCTCAGACAACGTCACAAGGATCGGATGCAGGTGATGATGTGAGCAGAGCCCAGTCCTCGGACAATGTCGCAAGGACTGGAGGCAGGGGAACGGCGCGAGCAGAACCCAATCCTCGGACAATGTCAACGATGTGAGCAGAACCCAATCCTTGGACAGTGTCCCAAGGATCGGAGGCAGGGGACGACATGAGCAGAACCCAATCCTTGGACAACGTCACAAGGATCGGAGACACGGATAGGAACAGGAAACGCAAACACAATAGCCTTTCTGTGGCTGTGAACCGTGTGCTGATGCCCGGGTACGGGGCTGCTCCCACTTGCATAGGTAAGCCGCCGCGTGGCCGCTCCCACGCTGAGATCAGCACAAATTCGCTGCGCGCTGCGTCATTCTACCTCTACATCCTTGCAACTTTGTCCAAGGATATACATCTTCCTGTCCCTCTGCGCATCCTTGTGACTCTGTCCGAGGATACGTGCTTCTTTAACAGCGTGCCTTTCCGACTGCGTTTTCTGTATCCCTGCGACTTGTCCAGGGTTACGTGTCGTCGCCCGCTGCCCTCATTCTCGCACCGCGCCTTCTGAGTCGCGCTCTCTCCATCCTTGCGACTTGTCCGAGGATACGTGCCTTGTTATCTCGTCAAGGTTTAGTCTGTGATAAGTTGGCACACCATGTCACATCAGTATGTATCCAAAATATCACATTCCTCCTGCTCGTGTATTTACGCTCTATTCAGGCCTCCCTCCCAGCCCCAATTTGTACCTCACTCCTCCTGTCGATATATCTTTGTGGACGAAAAATTGCGCGTCTTCTCCTCCCCAAACACACACGTGCTTCCCGATGACATAGCCGACTTCATATACGAGAGGACACCCCGCCAGACGTGGGAGATCACTTGGGCAGAGGACTGGTCCCCTTGGCAAGCATGGGTTGTACGGGCACCATTTGTCAGGTGGGATGGGGCTTTCTCAATCCTGAATGTAGACAAGAGATTGCTCCCGCTTGAGAAGGACAAGGGCACGTGGTACCTCAAATGGTCTGAGCTGGAGCAACGACTCGTGGGCTTGTGTACGATACTTTCAGGACGACTCCTTCATACCCTCCGCTTGCAACCATATTCGTTCCCATCGTCATTCGGTTACGAGGGCTCATTCCCGGGAGGCGATAATGCAAGGCGGAAGATTATCCAGAGCCGTGATGCCTTTGTCCCTCTCGCGGCCTACTACAATTACCTCGCTGCCCAAATCAATTTCAAGTACGAAGCAGCCATGGCGCGGTCCGATGGCGTAGCCATACCGCCGTGCACTTATCAAGTTGCAGTCGAATGCATGCCGCCTGAATGGGTAGATCGTCTATACGCGTCTACTCTCATTACCGCACCAGGCTCTCAACGTTCGGGTCTTATTATCCAACGCAAGATGGCATGGTGGGACGAGTTCCAAGTTATGCAGGCATGGGACTTGCCACTCTTCTTCTACTGGCGAGGCTATTCCGCCTTCTTTACAACCAAATGGTCTGAAGTCACCCCTCCAGAGCTGTGGCCGTACTGCCCACATTATCAGGACGTAAAAAGGATTTACGAGGCTGCTTTGCAAGGAGCCAGACCCCCTACGCAAGGAGCCAGACCTCCTATGAACTCCAGCGAACCACCCCAGCAACATGGCAATACTTCACATCCCAGTCACGCCGCTCGTGTCGACGGTCCACCCTCGCATAGCCATTCACCTGCGGTGCGTAGAACGGTGATACCAAAGACTGGAGGTCAGTATGAAGGGGAAACATTTTGGGAATTCATGGCAAGACGAGAAGAGGAGCGCAAGAAGTGTTACGCCCAAGCCGATGCCACGCAACTCCAGAGATGGAACTCAAGGGAGAGAGAGAGTAAGAAGGCCAACATCCCAGCCAAGGCGAAAGTTTACGAATGGATCGGGATCGATGACGATAAACCAATACATTTGCGCGAGCTCGTTAGCCGTGGCGACGTGCAGTCGTTTTGGGATACATACCGTCGGAAGTCTTTTGACCCCATTGCCAACGAGTGGGACATCTATGATAAAATCGATCCAAAGCCAATGACCGTGGAGGGGTATGAGGAACTGGACCCTCTCGATGAGGCCAACATGTACGATTACGCACTTGATCCTGCTCCGGGTATCACCACTCGGGAGCCTGATAGTGCTTCCAAACCGCCCCTCGTTCAGTCGACCCCTCCTGCATCTCAGGGACCTTCTCATTTTACAGGTGCTGTGCAGCCCTCGCCCTTGCGCAACACTGCAGCACCTCTTAAGGAGAAGCAGGCTCTTGGTTCAGCTACAACAGCTCCGGAGCCTGATCGAGCTCCCAACCCCCCTGTCTTCCTGTCATCTCCCGAGTCTCGGGGGCCTCCTCATTCTGCGGGTGCTCTACAGACACCAACGCCTGCGCCAAATGCTGCAGCACCCCCCAAGGAGAAGCAGGCTTCCTATGTCCCCGGTAACGAGGTTCCCGGCAGACGTGAAGTACATGACACCCACACTGCCTCTGAGAAGCTTGCAGCCCCTGGCTATCGCCTTCGAGGGACAGGTAGCCCCTATGAATATTGCCGCCTTCCTCATCAGGTGGATGAAATCCTCACCCTTCGGGATGGACTTCAGGGCGATAGCCATGGCGTCAGGCTTGATCGGAGGCAGGCTTCCTCGCACCCGGCGTTCACGTCAACTCTGCAGGAGTTCCTGACGGAGAAGACTACGGGTTCGTACTCTCAGGTCTTCATGGACAACGCAGTTGCTCTCATGAGAGGCCTGCGTACAGACAACACTCTGTCTCATTGCGATCTCACCGAAGGGGCCCTCGAGACGACCCTGAGTGTAAGGCCTGCGTCCCTGGGTGACAAAACCTATTTTGTTGTGACTCCTCATCATGGACCCGCTATCTGGTTGACTACAGCAATAGACGTTTGCCATGTCATACGGCTGCATAGGCTGGAGTCGGCACAAGGAGACGCAACCTTTGATCTAAGGCCGTACCTGCTGGACCTTGGGATCCCTTTCCTGTGCCCATGCCTTTTGCCACACCCCAAGGTGACCTCGCCGCCGGCATCTGTAGTGCAACAAATGGTGCGACCTGTCAACCACAAATGGACGTCTAGTGACTACACCAGCTATGTACACCGGAAGGAGAGCTTCATCACTGGTTACCCCCATAGCCGCGCTGCGCTGCTTGAGGGTGGCATTCTGTGGCGCCTCGCTCTCGATGCACTCCATGGGACAGCCGAAGACATCTTATGTGACGGGCCGAGTGCGGCGGCCGTCAGAAATGGATACGGTTGTCTCCTTGCTCGTGTTGATGACAAGGAAGGATGGTATGAAGAAAATATTGATGCAATGGAGGAGGCCTGCATCATCGGCACTTACTTCATCCAAACCAGTAAGTGTGCCCAGCATGGAATTTGAGCATCGTAATGATGTTATTTACAGCTCCCGGACAATGGGCTGAATACTCTTGGTGGCCGAAGTCGACAAACTGGAGCGCAAGTGGTTTTGGTGCTGTGGGCTATTGGACCAATGGGGCGGAAGAGTGGTACCAAGGCCAGGTGAGGGATATCATGGCTGGGAAGGCTTATCCCCTGAAACAAGGCGATTGGCGGCTCAAGTTGCGACATCATGCGTCTTCCGTGAAGAGGGTCAAAGGTCGGTATAATGATTGCTGCAAATGGTCTGCCCGCAGTGCTTGATTAGTTGCGCTCCATTGTTGTTCGTAATAACGTAGTCTCCGACTCTATGCATAGTGTAACATAGCTCTCGTCCGTAGTGTAACATAGCTCTTAACATAGCTCTCGTCTGTAGTGTAACATAGCTCTCATCCATAGTGTAACATAGCTCTCATCCGTACAATGGCGTATTCTTATATATTTGCAGTGATATAAGACCGGCTTCCAATCCGGCGGGTGTAGCCGCCGTCTATATTTCTAAGCAGTGTTGTCGGCGGCTAAGCCGCCCTAACTTTGTGAGCGGCATACTGGCGGCTATGGCTGGTCTTGTGCGTTAGCCGTGAGTGCCCCGCCGGCGGCCCGATTTGATTTGGCTCATGTCTGACATATATTATTTGCTTCAACATTCCGAAGTACCAGCAATTTAAAAATACAATGACACATTGAGCAATGTATTTGCTCATCTGACCACAATTTATATGTACAATACAATTCGGACTTCTGCCATATTTTGAATGCCAGTTGGCACCCAAATACAATCCTATTTTTTAGATTTTGGTTTCAATATAGGGCTGTCGAATTTTCGCATTTTTGAATGTATTCGAGGGCCCGTAAACATGTTCTTGTAACCAATATATATTTTGCATTTCAGCAATGTCATCACAAAATAAATTTTCTATGACATCTTAGATGCCGCCTAAAATATTTATAGTTGTTGTGCATTCACGCAGATATTCCGAGTCAACCTGAAGTTTGGGAACCCTGTTGTGTTAAATGTGTATGGGCCACCACACAAAACTCTTCTCATGACTTTTCGGGATCTTGTTCCCACAATGCTTGCGTTCGGCAAACCGCTCAATTTTGTGCGTAAGGACTCATCCTTTGTACCTCAGGACTCGTAACTCCGTGAGTGCAGTTTTGGTCTCCCTCTGCTAGCTGAACAAGGACTGAGATCTCATGCGGTAGCAGGACCAGACCTTTGCACAAGGATACTTTACTGACATTTGTACGAAGTCAACAAGTACAGCAGCTCGTGGGATCTTGAGGAGTCCTTGAGCTAATGTATCACTCTTGTGTTGTAATCCGCTACATGATGGTAGCTAAGCTTGAAACCCCTGCGGGGGGCTGTGACTGAATGCACCCCAGAAGCCAGAATAAGGGCTGAGCTTAGGATCCCTGTTCAGCCTACTGGTACCTACGGGAGCGGGAATGATTTGAATGACAACCTGCTACAGCTTGATGCTGAAACCAGGGTTGCCTACACAGGCTACACTTGAAGTTTCACGACTGTCAAAGGAAGTGAAGTGTGAACTCGGGGGATAACATGTGCTCTGCCTGGTGCATA